ACAATACTACAGCGAGAATAAAAGTTACACCTTCTTTCTTTGCGTGAACATTTGGGCGGCATTATGCAAATCTTCCCAGATAGTGATGTAGGTATGTGGGGGCGTGTTAGAATGAGCTGTTTTAGGTAGGCGTGGCTGACTCTTAACTTTTATAAAGAATATCTCTTTGGATTTGAGACTTTAGTCTTTGCAACTTTACAGATCTTCTGTATGCACCAAGAGCTTGTAACACTCCAAAGAGAAAGGAAAAATTGAAATCGCAGCATATGACCCCTTTAAAGCACAGCCTCTCTTAATGTTTGCATGGTGATATTTATCCACGTGACATGTGAGATGTGGCTTCATTCATGAAGGTAACAACAAGGGCAAGAAGCAAACATGTCAGCAGATAAAATAATAGAAAGGACAAAAGTCATAGCATGTTATCAGTATAAATACGTATATTACAAATAAACAGAACTGTTAAAAAAACTGTTTTAAGAAAAAAGAAAAAGGTTGAAATAATAAACAGGATGACATATGGGAATGCTAATCATGCTAACTGGAAACTCTTGTTCCTGTCTTACTGTTTCCAAACACTCTGGGAGTACCGAAACAAACAGAACAGCTTGAAACGCATCCAAGAACGAGTCTGTACACACAACCTTGTCAGTGTGTGCATGTGTTCACCTTTATGCAGAGTAACCTTGACGCGCGGGTGAGACTGGTGGAGCAGCGCTCGTGAAGCTCGCTGTAACGGCAGACTTGAGACTGTGCTGTTTTTAGCTCGTGTCTCTGGAAACAAATGTGGGGTCAGTGAGCAACGGTTACGGCCCCTAAGTATTCTTATATTCATATAAGAATACTTACATTCACTCAAATAAGAACATTAAGCGAAAGGCAGCACCATATGTGGGGTGGCAAGCACGCACACGATACTAACACGATACACGTGTCCACCTTTTAATGTAGTTTTTAAATATTTGTGCTTCCGCATCATACCAAGACGAGTTGTGTAAAGTTTAATAAAGTAACTTACAAAAAATACAGGTGACCAGATTTCTAAAACCGGTACATTTCCTAGTTCAGTGTTCAAAATATCATTAAAATCTCGGTTGCAAAAACTGGCGACACTTTTTGTATGCTTTTTATTTTTAAGTACTCCATTTTAACTTTTCAAATGTAAATTTATGTCTGTGCTTTTGGAAATTAATCTTAATATACCTATGCACCTATAGCTACCTATATCTACTGCATTTCTGAGTACAAAGTATGTGCTTTCAACAAACGTTGAAAAAGTGGTGACGTTAAAAGGATACTCAAAAAAAAAAAAAAAATCCACTTGTTTACACACCCTCATGTTCTACCAGATATGTACATTTCTTTGTTTAGATGAAAAACTTTAGAAAAATTTCAGTCTCTGGCAGTCCATAATGCAAGTATAACCTATATAACCCCAGTGGATAAATCAATGTCTTCTAAAGTGAAATTAAATGCAAGTAAAATTATATATATGAAAAATATATTTTTAATGACATATTTTAAATTATAAACTATTGCTTCCAGCCAATTGTCATATGTGGATTTCTGAATAAGCATCAGCATGTTGTGACGTGGAGGCCTGGTCAATGTAACATTATATCAGATTCGGTCTTCAGAAGTAGGCCTAATACAGAGGCTTCAACATAGCTAATACAGCAAGCTGGTACAAATAATTCTCTGCTTTAGGAAGCACAAACTGACCTTCAAAAATGGTTTAGAGAATTGTTTAAATTGTGTTCAGTAATTGAACTGTTTCTAAAACAGTTTTATTTTTGGCCAATAATCTGCTTTTAAATCTATGCCACATTTCGATGATTAGCAACAGATATGAGGGAATTAGCATTAGAAGTGTGCAAAAATACCTTTTACTATCTTTTATTTGCCACTAACACCTTTCAAGTTCTGCAGATGAACATGTTGCAGTTAGTTGGTTTCTAAAAATTAATTCTGCCAGATGGAAAAACAACAGCTTCAGTTTCTTGCCGCCACATGTAGAATAGATGTGTCCAATGACAGCAGGTGTAGTGTTATATAAACTGTATTAGTGTGTCTTGTCTTAGCACATGTGTTTTAATCACACCAAAGCCTGCTTAATTCCAAACGTCTTGCACACATGCTGTTGTTTAGCAGCTCATTCTGCAGAAGGCATCAGAGTCACTGAACAGAGACTGTAGTCATTTATTTATAGCAAATATAACATAATTGCAAAGTGCACCCAGTGATACAGTGACTTACACTAAAGTACTCAAGTCATATGGAAAGCATATTTTTGCCATTTTGTTTAACAATGTTTATTTGGTCATAGATAAAAAAATAGCATGACATAAAAAGCAGCCGGTTTTTACTAAAAATAAAAATGGAGCCTCTGTTGCCTGCTTCTGCCCACGGTGACTCCTGGATGAGGGGTGAAGGGTGTGGAATTGGATCAGGGTGGTTACGAGGGGAGAGGGGATCCAGGCTCCTTTAGCCTCCGGAGTCACTGCTCTCACTCATTTGTCTCTTCATCACAATCTCTCTGGCAACGCAGGTCACCTGACCGGTTGTCACTGTGTAGGTGCCAGCCCTGCCAATCAATATCAAGAACACCTTGCATGAAAACCAGAACTCAAAAGCTGAGTCAAACCAAACACAAAACGGTTCTTAAACTCACTTCTGCTGGGATTCAAATCCATTGAGTGTCCCCATTTGATTCTGCTTCCCAAAGAAGAAACTGGACCACCAGTGTCCAGAGTCCTGTCGTGCCAGACCTGCCATGGAATTGGACAATGAACTTTACTATTCCTTTACAATGAAAGCTGACTATATTGTATCACATTTTTGCGTGGATTTTAGGGTACTAAGATGTTGAACTCTTCAGTTGATATACCTGGTGGGTGTGGAATGACCTCCCCACTGTACTCCGAACTGCCACAGGAACTGTTGCTGGATGTAGATCCCATGCGCCCTACAACATATAAATATGTGTATATATTAAAATTATCACTGATATTGCATTTTATGGATCCTAAATCCAAAAAGAATATTTAATTCACATGCTAATTATAATGGGAAAGAAAAACATTTACTCACTTCGGTAGTAATCATGGGTGGCGACAAGGGAACCGCTGGATGGAATTGCTGCCATTTTCCCCGTCCTCGAAGTGTCAACCGTGTGAAAGATGGAGAGATGGTAGACCTGTTTAAAACATTCAGCAATAATGAGGACTAATCTGTCTGAGGATGACAGCTGCATGACATCACAACAACATGACCTTTTAAATACTAGGGCAGCTTGGAAAACATCTCAGGTAGGCAGATGCACAAACAATCTGTGCAGTTAGGTTTTAACCATGTCTGGATCACACACAACTTTTTCCCAATAGGCTAACGGTGTTGGTAAGATGTGAATATTATCCAGTGCATTCAGAGATGAACTGAACCCTTTTGACATTTGAGACGAGAATGTTCCACTGAAACTGCACATCCATCCCTTCCTATTATCCTCATTCTGTAGAGTGTGATGTGATGATACTCAACAGCTGTTACTTCAAGAATCATATTTCCATATTCAGCGACCCACTTACTTAGAACAGCCACTACCCCATTGCAACAAGCATGCAGAATAGCTCGTGTCATGACACATGGCTATCCAAGGTTGTCTGCTTGCAGTTGCTTTGAGAATTTAAAATACAGAAAAACAAAAATATATGGAGTATATAACAGTATATTTTTATTCACTGTCACTATTAAATACATCCATTACTTACTTGTTTATTGTGCTTTATTCTGTAACATTACAAAAAAAATAATAGAGAACTGAATTCATAACAACAAATCAAAGCAGAGATCATGACAATATTGCAACAAAAAGATATATGGCAACAAGCATCCCAGCTGGTCTTGGCTGCATGGCCTCCATAACCACCGACAGCTGATCTGAAACAAAACAGAGGGGAAATGTGTGAGAAATAGTCATGAGTTTATCTCATCTAAATTTGTTCATGGACAGACAAGGTAACAACTTATGCAACAGCTGTTATTCCCAGAATAGTACTGTTTAAACAGTTTTTTTGCACATCCTTGTCAGGGAACTCCATTAATTGCCTGAATGTACAATCACATTAAAGAGGTACACTGAGTAACTTTATGGTCCTTCAAACTTAAACTTTTTTTTTCTTTGGCAGTGTTTTAAAGTATATTTTTAGTTGTGACAGCTCTTGATCCAAGGAATATCAGTGTGTATCAGCTACTGTAACATTTGTATTGTTTGTAAATAGAGCAAAACAGGCTTTTGAGTCAATCTAGAAATACTCTTGAAGAATACAGGATTATTTATCACCAAAATGAATACTAAATCAAGGTACATAAATACACAGTCATCAAATTCTCCGAAATATTTTAATCCAATTAAATTGTATGGAAACTGGAATCATATGGAATCAGAATAAGAGAATAAGAATAATTGTGAATCAAACTGAACTGAATCAAGATCAGAACTGAATTAAGAGCTTGTGAATCAAATGGAATTATGAAATCTGTATCAATCCCCAGCC